ACACAGGAGGATCGCTTGAGCCCAGGAGTTCAAGGCTGCCGTGAGCCTTGATCACACCATTGCATTTCAGCCTGAGTGATGGAGTAAGACCCTGTCTCAACAAAAAATAAAAGAAGAAAGAAAGAAAGGGAGAGAGAGAGCGGGAGGGAGGGAGAGAGAGAGAGAGAGAAGAAAGAAAGAGAAAGAAAGAAAGAAAAGAAAGAAAAAAAGAAAAGAAAGAAAAGAAAGTAACAGTAGCAAAATCTTTATCTGATAAGGGTCCTGTATCTAGATTATATAAAGAACTCTTTCAACTCAGCAAGACAAAAAAAGGGGGCTAAATATTTTAATACACTTCTAAAAGATATATGAATGGCCAAAAAAGATGAAGAGATGATCCCCTTCATTAATCATCAGGAAAATACAAATTAAAACCCAGTAACACCCACTTAATGTTTCTGTTTTTAAGATAATGCCACATACTGGTAAGGCTGTGGTGCAGCTAGTACTATCATACATTGCTAACATACATGCAAACCGGCACAGCGACATTGGAAACATTGGCAGTTTCTGACAACGTTACATGTTCACTTACCGGTAAGACGGATAATACCGTACTCCTAGGTATTTACACAGAGAAGTGAAAACAAATGTCAGCACAAAGACTTGTACTCAAGTAGCCATAGCAGCTCTACTCATAATACCCCAAAGAGGAAAAAACTTACCTGCCCATCAACTGGTAATGCATAACAAATTGTAGAATATGAATACAAAGGAGAACACTACTCAGCAATGGGAAGCATGACATGCGCAAAAACAGGTGTGAATCTCAAAAGCATTAGGCTAAGTGGAAGAAGCAAGAAAAAAACAGTAAATATAATATTACCCTTTTTGTGTGTTATATTTACTCTTTTTATATTTATATTTACTTTACATTATACTTTATTTATATTTACTCGTTTTCAACTATGGTGAAAGAAAGCAGATCACTGATTGTTAGGGGCTGACAGGATGAATGACTACGAAGGGCTACAGAAAAAGCCTTTTGGGGTGACAGAAATATTTTATGTCATGATTTTGGTAGTGTTAATCACCTATATACATTTCTGAAATTCATCAAATTGTACACTGAAAATTAATAACTTTTATTTTCTGTTAATCAAACTCAATACAAGTGATTCAAAAATTAAAAGGGAGAGACGGTGCAGTGGCTCACGCCGGTAATCCCAGCACTTAGGGAGGCCGAGGCAGGCAAATCACGAGATCAGGAGTTCGAGACCAGCCTGGACAACATGGTGAAACCCCGACTCTACCAAAAATACAAAAATTAGCAGGGCGCAGTGTCGTGCACCTGTAGTCCCAGTTACTTGGAAGGCTGAGGCAGAAGAATCGCTTGAACCTGAGAGGCGGAGGTTGCAGCGAGCCGAGATCATGCCACTGCACTCTAGCCAGGGCAACAGAGCAAGACTCTGTCTCAAAAAAAATACAAAAATTAGCTGGGCGTGGTGGCGGCCACCTGTAATCCCAGCTACTGCGGAGGCTGAGGCAGGAGAATCGCTTGAACCCAGGAGATGGAGGTTGCAGTGAGCATTGCACCATTGCACTCCAGCCTGGGCAACAAGAGTGAAACTCCGTCTTAAAAAAAAAAAAAAAAATTAGGCCGGGCGCGGTGGCTCAAGCCTGTAATCCCAGCACTTTGGGAGGCCGAGGCGGGTGGATCACGAGGTCAAGAGATCGAGACCATCCTGGTCAACATGGTGAAACCCCGTCTCTACTAAAAATACAAAAAATCAGCTGGGCATGGTGGCGCGTGCCTGTAATCCCAGCGACTCAGGAGGCTGAGGCAGGAGAATTGCCTGAACCCAGGAGGCGGAGGTTGCGGTGAGTTGAGATGGCGCCATTGCACTCCAGCCTGGGTAACAAGAGTGAAACTCCGTCTCAAAAAAAAAAAAAAATTAAAAGGGAGGTGAGGTGAGAAAGAGAAAAGAAACAGAACTACACTGCAGAGGGAGCCCCGTGGTAAGCTGTGCCCCTCCACTGAGACCAGCGGCTGTAGCACCACATCTGTGTACAGGGACCTCTCAACAGGGCCCAGGTGCTGCCACTTCTCCTGGGTGAATTCCACAGTCACGTCCTTAAGTGACGCTGATGCCTGTAACAGCACATTTCTAATTAATCTGAAGGGTTTAGAAACTATATTGTGGGAAATGCCTTTGAAAATAAATTTATGACCGGGCGCGGTGGCTCACGCCTGTAATCCCAGCACTTTGGGAGGCCGAGGCGGGTGGATCACGAGGTCAAGAGATCGAGACCATCCTGGTCAACATGGTGAAACCCCGTCTCTACTAAAAATACAAAAATTAGCTGGGCATGGTGGCACGTGCCTGTAATCCCAGCTACTCAGGAGGCTGAGGCAGGAGAATTGCCTGAACCCAGGAGGCGGAGGTTGCGGTGAGTTGAGATGGCGCCATTGCACTCCAGCCTGGGTAACAAGAGTGAAACTCCGTCTCAAAAAAAAAAAAAAAAAAAAAAAAGAAAAGAAATTTATGGTTTATTGTTGAGAGTTTAACACAAAATGTTATAAAGGACCCTATTATGGCGCTACCACTGTCTTAGACTTTGTGGTACTCATACAATTGGTACAAATATTATTCTCATGCCCTAATGCATGTATATTTATTTATAAATTATGTACAGTCAGTTAGTATACTAGGATAAGGTTTAGAGTCTTGGTTTCAGATAAAGTTATTTTAGCTAGGCTTCCTGTCTTCTTTTTCTACACCTTAGTGGACTGTCCTAAACACTCTCTAAGGTATACAGACCTCACAGATCTCTGCTGGGTTAAGAGGAAACCAACAAAGAGGTGCATGTAAGCCCTGGAAGTACTACGCATGATCAAGCTTGTCTTTCAGAAGCAATATTCCAGAAGAGTGGGAATGTCCTAAGCAGCAAAACAGACGAGAGCAATTGAAGAGATGACCTAGATAGAGGTAAAGCAATGAGAGTTCAGAATGGGAAACCAGGCCCTGTGAGAGAAGGGAACATCTTTCATTATGACTTTTGTGTGCAACGGTACATGGAGAGGCTGCGTGAGCAAACGGGTAGATGCCGATGCCATATACTGAGATAAAAAGAACAAGAATAAGAACATGGGCATTTAACATCTGTGAAGATACAGGTGGAATTATACACTGCACCACTGGTTACATGATTTTGGAATAGAGAAGGAAGGTTTAAAGTTGATCCTCACACTGTTGGTGGGAGTGTAAATTAGTTCAACCCTTGTGGAACACAGTGTGGCGATTCCTCAAGGATCTAGAAATAGAAATTCCATTTGACCCAGCAATCCCATTACTGGGTATATATCCAAAGGATTATAAATTGTTCTATTATATGGACACATGTACACGAATGTTCATTGCAGCACTGTTTACAATAGCAAAGACTTGGAGCCAACCCAAATGCCCATCGATGATAGACTGGACAGGGAAAATGTGGCACATATGCACCATGGAATACTATGTAGCCATAAGAAACGATGAGTTTGTGTCCTTTGTAGGGACATGGATGAACCTGGAAACCATCATTCTCAGCAAACTGACACAAGAACAGAAAATCAAACACTGCATGTTCTCACTCACAGGCAGGTGTTGAACAATGAGAACACATGGACACAGGGAGGGGAGCATCACACACTGGGGTCTGTTGGGGGGAACTAGGGGAGGGACAGTGGGGGGTGGGGAGTTGGGGAGGGATAACATGGGGAGAAATGCCAGATATAGGTGATGGGGAGGAAGGCAGCAAACCACATTGCCATGTATGTACCTATGCAACTATCTTGCATGTTCTTCACACGTACCCCAAAACCTAAAACGCAATAAAATATATATTTAAAAAAATAATAACATAAAATAAAAATTTAAAAAGATTGATCCTCAGAGTTAATGCAATCACACAAAAAATCACGGCAAGTTTTGAAGATGAAAAGTTGGACTCTAAAGTTACAAGCGGCAAAGGACTTAGACTATCCAATACAATTGTGAAAAGGAACAAGTTTGGGAGATTCATGTTCTCAATACAAGACTTATTTTAAAACAACAGTAATCAAGGGGGACATTCGCAAAAGGACTGGCACAGATCAACAGAAGAGAATACAGACTTCAGGCCAGGCACTGTGGTTCAGGCCTGTAAGCCCAGCACTTTGGGAGGCCGAGGCAGGCAGATCACTTGAGGTCAGGAGTTCAAGACCAGCCTGACCAACATGTTGAAACCCTGTCTCTACTAAAAATACAAAAATTAGCCTGGCATGGTGGTAGGCACCTGTAATCCCAGCTACTCAGAAGGCTGAGGCAGGAGAATCACTTGAACCCTGGGTGGAGGTTGCAGTGAGCCAAGATTGTGCCAGTGCACTCCAGCCTGGGTGCAGAGGGAGACTCCAACTCAAGAAAACAACCAAAAAAAAACCAAAAAACAAAGAACAACAACAAAAAAGAGAATACAGACTCCAGAAACAGAGTCACAAATAATAAAAAGCCAAATGGTTCAAAAAAATGGTGCCAATGCAATTCAGTTGAAAACAAATATTAGAACTCTCAGACATAAACAAAAATAAACAAGCTTGATATTGCGTGTGAAGGGAGAACTCTAGCCCAGGAGAGGGAGCAGGTCAGGAAACGTCCTCATTTTGAGGCTGTTTGAAACTACCTGATTTTTTCTTTTTTAATTTATGTTACAAAAAAACTAACTTTAAGATTTCTTTTTGTAACTTTTTTCAACAGGGAAAACAATACACTCCACAGGGAAGGGTGAGGGGCCGAGAAGACAGGCCTTGGGTAAAATTCTTACAACAGCACCTGGAGCTGAGAAGCCTGCCTAGGCGAGAACACAGGCACTGCCACCAGCGCAGAGGGCAGCTGCCGTCTGGGGTCAGCAGATCAGTTCACACACCACACAAGGCTGCTTTAGATCCAAGTCATAAAAATCTTCCAGCTCAACATGAAACAAGTCCCACTCATCTTCAGGTTCTGTCCGCTTGTCATCCCCACCTGCAGCCAAAAGCGTAAGCAACACCTTGCCCAGCCCCAAGGTGACAACCTGTTCTTCATTGTTGTCAGAGGGGTTGCTGTTCTCTCTTTCTTCAATGAGTTCCCAGGAGTGCTTCCTTCACTGGGCCCGGTATCTGCTTGATGTTCCCACTTTCTGCCTCTGTGGCTCCTCTCTACGGCCATCAGGGTACACAGGCTTGCAAAAGGCCCTCCAAATGGGCAGCTCCCACATCCTTCATCAAAATACCTGCAGTGCCTGGCGAGGTGGCGCGTGCCTGCCATCCCAGCTACTCGGGAGGCTGAGGCGGGAGGATCGCTTGAGCCCAGGAGTTCTGGGCTGTAGTGCGCTATGCCGATCAGGTGTTCACACTAAGTTCAGCATCAATGTGGTGACCTTCTGGGAGCGAGGGACCACCAGGTTGCCTAAGGAGGGGTGAACCAGCCCAGGTCAGAAACAGAGCAGGTCAAAACTCCCGTGCTGATCTCCTAGTGGGATCGCACCTGTGAATAGCCATTGCACTCCAGTCTGGGCAACATAGCAAGACCCCGTCTCTTAAAAAAAATTAATTAAATTAAAGTCAAAATACCTGCATGCCTTGTTGCTCAATGCCCCCTTGTATTTCTGAATGAGTTTCTGCTTCTCTTCTTTCTCCTCCACCCAGTACTCACTCCAAATGACAAAGTTAGATGTGATCTGGCATTCTGGGCAGGACTTTATAATCTTGCTCAAATTGCTTAGCATTCCTCCACTTGCGAATGCACTCGAGACACTAGGCATAGTTGCAGTTGGAGAGGATCCCCAAGGAGCGCTGGCTGGGGTTGGGTTTCTCATAGATCGCGTCCATGCAGATCCCACACACTATGTCCTTGCTGCACTGCACAGCAAATGAGAGCTCCATGCCCTTCTCATGCGCCTCAATGCATGATTTACTGGGCAGCATCCATCGGATGCAGGACCTGCAGTCCACACATTATAGAAGTAATTTTTAGGCCAGGCACAGTGACTCACACCTGTAATCCCAGCACTTTGGGAGGCCAAGGCAGGCGGTTCACGAGGTCAGGAGTTCAAGACCAGCCTGGCCAACATGGTGAAACCCCATCTCTCTTAAAAATACAAAAGTTAGCTGGGCGTGGTGGCACGTGCCTGCTACAATCTCAGCTACTCCTGAGGCTGAGGCAGAAGAATTGCTTGAACCAGGACCCAAGAGGTGGAGGTTGCAGTGAGCCGAGATTGTACCACTGCACTCCAGCCTGGGCTACAGAGCGAGACTCCATCTCAGTAATAATAATACTTTTTAAGTAAAAAAAAGAATATTAAAAGGTAAGCTACAAGCTACACAGTGAGAGGAAAATTCAGGAGATCATGACCATTTAGTATTAATAACTGGTGTTATATTCAAAATCTGCACACAGAAATCCCCGCTCAAACAACAGGCAAATTTTCTCATTTAAGTTACAGGGAGAAAAACATCAAGCAAAAAAAAAAAAGGAGCAGGATTGTGCCCCCATTCATTTTATGAGGCTAATAGAGCCATAATACCGAAAAGGGGAAAGGAAATTATAGTCTCACCTAACTTGTGACACAGTCATAAACATTCTAAATATAGTACTAGTAGAAGGATCTCACCCAACACACATTCAAAGCAACTCACCACATTTATCAGCATGTAAGATCTATACAGGAAATGGCCGGGCGCGGTGGCTCAAACCTGTAATCCCAGCACTTTGGGAGGCCGAGGCGGGTGGATCACGAGGTCAAGA